TGTCTATTACTGGTTATTTCTACTTGCGTTGGTATTGGGGAAATATTGACAGTAGTATGATAGTATCTATTTCAACTATTTGTAACTAATTAAAACATAATAATGTTGACAAACAATAAAACGTAATGCTATCATTAATGTTTGCAAATACCAGCACAAATATAAATAATGAGTATTGACCTGACACAATATTTAAATACAACTTTTCCATTAATGTCATCGATCTTTAATGAATAAGATTTGATGATGTTGATTTGATCAATTTCGACGATTGTAGATCTCCTTTTTAGATGATTTCTATTTTTGTCTGTAATACGTTGACGCCATCATTCCCTTTGGTGTTGACGTTCCATAATGTCTGTAAGAGACGACACTATAATTGATGTACGAGCGTTATCGCGTTTCTGCTCGTTCAGTGCGTGTCACGAGACCAGCATAATTGTTTTAACGTTTTAATAACTGCGCTCGCGTGCATGGCTTCTCGAGACCGCGTACAGGTATAATAAAAGAGCATCCCGAGTGATACAGGCCCGACTTAAACGCATTATGTTTCTGTTACATGCACGTTGCGTACAGCTTCTTTCAAGCGCCACGTGCGGGTGAATTCTACTCATGTGTTTCGCTTAATCACTGCGGAAGTACAGCTTTTGATTAATTTATCTATATAATTTCTCGTTTGAAAAGTAAAATAAATTTCATAGAATGGAGAGTTACAAGTAAATTCTACTCGAACAAGTGGCTGAATCTGTAAGTATTTTGGAAAATATTTTATTACGTTCGGAGAAATGAAATTTTTAATTAATTTATCTATGAATAACTGACCGAGAAATGATCGAAAATGAATGAAATTGGTATAATAGAGGATTAAAAATAAGTTCTGCTTTAATTAAATGAGTGGTTGAATCTGTAAGTAATTCGAAAAACATTCCATTATGATTGTCGGGTTTAATGTCGGTTACAATATTCTGTGATGCAAGATAAATGTTAAGATGTTTTGTGTCAACACTATTGTACAGGGTGTTCGGTTGCCCCTTGGAAAAATTTTAATGGGAACTTCTAGACGCTAAAATAAGACAAAAATCAAGAATAACAATTTCTTGATTGAGGCTTCGTTAAACAGTTACTAAAAAATTAAATTAAAAAATTTCAAATCGTTCTGAAAAAATTATTTTTGGTTGCGGAGGTAAATTATAAGTATTTTTGATGAATAGACATACTCGCAAATTCCTACGCACTTTCGAGAAAAAAATTCAGATAGGTGCCTAAATTTTTCGGCGAAAAAAAAATTTCAAATCGTTCTGGAAAAAATATTTTTAGTTACGGGGATCGATTGCAATCATTTGTGGGCAATACACATACCTCCGAAATCCTGCACATTTTCGAGAAAAAAATTCCTTACCGAAAATCTAATGTGAGACGAGAAATGCTTCCCTGAAATCACATGCGAATCTTTAAAATGTCATAATTCCTGAACGGATAGGGAGATTTTAAAGTTTCAAAATACAAACAACGCATATTTTAGTGAAGAATGTGTAGAAACTCCAAAAATATTCGAAAAGTTGTTCATTAACCCCGTAAAGTGAGAAAACCCCCATAAAAATGGTCCAATTTTCAAAAAGCCATAACTCGTACAATAGTGAATATATTTGAGTGAAACTTTTTTCCTGAAGTAGGGCTCATAGGTACCTACAAAAAAGTATTTGACAACATTTCTGTAGGACGTCAAACAAATTTATTAAAAATGAACAATGCATTTAACAAAATTATTAAGAAAAATTCAAATTATTCTGGAAAAATTATTTTCGGTTGCAGGGGTCAATTACAACAATTTTTGGTGAATATACCTGCCTCCGAAATACTACCCATTTTCTAGAAAAAAATTCAGTACGGGCGGAACTTTAAACGTTAATAACTTCTTAACGAAGCCTCCATCAACAAATTGGTATTCTTGATTTTCGTATTATTTTGGCCTCTAGAATCTCCCATTAAAATTTTTCCCAGAGGTGGTCGAACACCCTGTATGTGGTTTTAGAATTTCTCCAAGCAGTATTTTCCTTTAATTATAATTGTTTACATTCTAATAAATTCGTACCCCTTTTTGTAACATTATCTGCAATTTCGTTCTCCATAATTCAAAAATCAGATTTACAAGTTATAATTAAATTCTAACTCTCAATATCAATTCTATATTGTTCTATACATATTTCTATAGTATATATTACATATTGTTCATCTGTAACCATTGTTCTCTACCTCAGTTGTACAAATATCATTATGCTTTCTCTCATACACTAATGTTTTCAGCCATATAATAAATAAATATGGGGTTGAAGCCATTTGCATAATACTTTAGTACATGGGTTGTTCAATAAGTCCTTAGAAAGAGGTAGAGAAACAAATTATTTTAGGTAGATTGTTTTTTTATTTTTCAACATAATCTCCTTTTGGCTCTATACACTTTTCCAAAAGTTTCTCCAACTGTTTTAAGGTATCTAAAAAGTAAGATTTCGGAAGGTTCTCAAAATAGGCATCTGTTTGGGCGGTGACCTCCTCGTTCGACGTGAACCGTTGTCCGCCGTGCCATTTTTTTAAGTTTGGAAATAAAAAAAAGTCACTGAGAGCCAAATCCGGTCAATACAGTGGATGATGTAATAATATGAACTTTAATTTTGTGGTCCGATAGTAATATAAAATGTAACTTATTCAGGTCTAATAAATCATAGAGCAGAATTATAAAGGTAGCGAAGAAGAGATGTTTTATAAAACTGTTTCGATAGTAATACACAAGCACGGGAAAACCCCGCGACCGACTGGCGAGCTCTACTTGGGGGTTCCCTTACGGTCGACCAATACTCCAATGTAAAGCGTCATCCTGCGGCCATAAGCGTACCACAAATTCCATGATTTTGGCCATCGAAACTGCACAGGTGTGTACCCGTGCATTGTCTTGATGCAAGGGGAAGCTTTTTGCTTCGATCGACAATAAAAATGAAACCATGTGGTGGATATAACTGAAACTTTGACAGCTGTCTAGTGAGTCATGATGCTTACTAAAAACAAACCATTTTCGATGCTACGAGCGCTAGGTCTTGGATTTTCTAAGGACTTATTGAACGACCCTCGTAGCTTGCTTGTTCTCGATCGCTTCGTAATATTGTTTATTACATGTTTTGTTCCAAATCCAACAGATTTTGGAAGGTGATGTAGAACATTTCACCGTCTCATCGCGATTCCTTCGCCTCGCGGAGCATTCGTTTTTCGCGCAGAAGCGATTCACGTTGACACCGCGGTGGGATGCGATCTTAATTATTCCTGGCGCGCATACCACCGGTCTTTCTCTTGTTTTATCCGAAATGACTGTGTATAATTGATCCATTAGAGCGTCTCGTCGTTTCCTGGCTCGCCGTACCAAACACTGGATTTAATCGTGTCGCAGAATGTAATTTCGAGGCGTTTGCGCTCGCATCGATTCGCGTCGTCGCCGCCGGAAAATTGCACTCGATTGTTTGCCCGTGATTGTGTTGCCCGCAACAGTTTTGTTCCACCGAGCGCCCAATGGCGGAACGCGAGCCCCGACAATCGGCGCTTTTCGAGGAAAAAATTTGATATATCGCGGTCGTAAAATGAAACTGAACATACGTTGCAGTTTTTATGCTATGCTTATCAACGGAACTTGAAAATGTAAACGCGAATAAATACGATGGAATATCTATCTGTCCCGACCAACTGTGCTCGGTCATCGCGATGTCCAATGCGTTCAACGCGAAGTTTTAATGGAAAACCGGTGTTCGTCGATGATCGATCCTAAGTGCCCATAAATCATAAGACCACGTGTATTCCTGTACATTGAAAACCGAATAATATCCAATCATCGTGTTTTTACCGGATCCTCGGCCTGATCATTGATTGTAAAATGTTTTTGCTCGAAAACAAATGTTTAAATTACTCGTAAATTAATTTGATTTATTTGCTCGTCGTTGCTTTTACGCGAAACAACGGAAAGCGATGCGTGTCATCGTTTCGTTCTACAAATAAAATAACAAACTACCGTTTATTTTGGGGGGAAAATATTTTATATTATTCGAAATACATTCCTTCTGCGTATTTTTATGAAATGTCTGAGGATTTTTTATATCTATCGTGACTATTTGGCTTTGTTTTCAAATGGTACTGAAAATGTCTTATTACCAGAAATGATTGAAGTATTTTTGTTCCTTATGAACAGTTTAAACGAGGTCTTTGCAATGATCAACTCAATACAATTTCTGGTCTACTGTCAATATCCGTGAAACAATTTGTGTAGGAACTGAAGTCTTAGTGATTTATCAGCTATTTAATGCTTGAAATGAAAGTTTAAGCAGTCTCTGTGGAGAGAAAAATTCAAATCATATTTAATTCCAATGGTTTCGCAACGGTGAATTTTTTTAACAATTTCAGGATCGTATGTTTCCATTGTATTTAATAAGTTACATATTTGAAAACTTCAAAGAGAAAGTTGGAAAAATAAAAATTGACGTACCATTTGGATAATGTAGATGGATGAGATGGAACAGCGAATTTTTATGTTCGCAATCCTTTGTTCGAGGTTTCGAAGCACAGAGCTCGAATATACTAGAAATACAGATGTGCTCTGACAATGTATAAAAAGAGTTTCGGAAGTGTAATCACTTCTCCAATACAAAATGATAATTTAATTTCGATTTATCATTAAAAATAAAAATAAAATTTCAATGGTACTTATTTATTTGAATACTGAACTGACAGCAGTCTACAGATTGATTCGCGTTTCTTTGTTTAGATTATAAAAATCGAGATAGTTTTCATAGCCTTGGACAAAGCTCTCGAGCTGGCCCTTTCATTGTTTCCTTGCTAATTTTCTACGAAGAGCAATTTCGTATCCGAGGGACCATTACGATTGCTATAATAGCGCTCATCAGGCCTAACCGTCTATCGCCTTTACCTTCGTCTTGTCTAATTACAGGTCACGTTTATTGTTTCAGGATGAGAGCGAGCTCTCGAGCAAGCGGTGGGCCAGTGCGCCCCGCCGCCCGGACAGCCCCTGCGTCCTGGGGGCACCAACGTCTAGGGAGGTACGTAAACTTTCTTCGCCATTTCACGAATATGCTAACGTCGCGTCCAGAACACGCTCTTCGAATCTCACGGTCAGAATCTAACGAAAAATATCATCTACAGACGTGGTCAAACTAATACTAACAACTGGACTGCGGATGTTTATGCATTTATGGGAAGTGTGCATTCTCAAAAAACTACAGAATGCACTTATGAAGCAAAAATATAGAAAATACGGAACATTCTTAGCAAACGGACCGTTCATCGATCAGGGGTGAGTTATACGTCATTCGATTCGTACATTATTAATATGCATTTCATTATTTTTGTTTAAACTTGTCGGAAAGTTGCAGTAAAAACGTAAGGTTAAGTATATTTTGACAGGATCACAGGTAGAAACAAGTGATTTTAGTTACTGTGTTGATGGTGTAAAGTATAAATATTGCCCTCCCCTCTGGCTCCGCTAGCCCAAACTTACTCTGACAGTGTTTGAAATACCAGAAATTTCATTCAATACATGGTTAACAAATTAGCATTTGACTTCCTGGCATTTATACTTTACACCACGAACACAGCAACGACAGTCACTTGTTTCTACCTGTGAACCTGTCAAAATATACTTAACCTTACGTTTTTACTGCAACTTTCCGACAAGTTTAAATAAAAATAACGAATTTCTGCAAATAATGAAATGCATATAAATAATGTACTGAATTAGACGAATCGAATTACGTATAACTCACTCCGATCGTTAAACGATCCATTTGCTAGGAATATACCAAAAATACATGTTGAAGAAACAACTTCATCAGCCATTGCTCTTGGGCTACTTCTATCAGGTCCTTTCCGGCGACCAAGCCTTCGTCGCATTATTTTTTTCATATTGATTAAAACCTTTAACTAATTAAACAATTAACTGAGAACTGGAACGCACACTTTATTGACGGATGATTTCTTTCCAGGAAATTCTTTTAACTTTCTTCACGCACGTCCTTTTTGTCCGGAAACCCTATTTGTTCTCCCCTTTTCTTTTCGTACATTTCTTTTTTTTAAACGTTCCGGTATCCAGACAACTAACTCGACTACCTTCAAAGGCCAGATTCGAACGTCAACGCCAACCAGACGCACGTTTGCGTTTTCTATGAGATTCTTCGCATCGATTAAATTTAGGTATCGATTAGGGCCAGCACAATTTTATTCATTCAACGTAACATGAATTTAGATAATAAAAAATTAGACTGCGGATGTTTATGCATTTATGGGGAATTTCAATTCTCAAAAAACTACAGAATGCACTTAATATGCAAAAATATAAGAAATACTTAAAGTAAGATACGAATTATTATATTTAAGGGTTGAGACAACCCTCCCCTACAAAGCTTCCATTTCATTACTTCTATAATATGAATTCTATTGATATGAATTTGCACAAAGGTCCACAGTCTACTGATAACTGATAAAATCGAAGGTTTTAAGGAGCCATTCTAGTCCGACACTTTGGAAAATTGGTGCTTTCAGTTTTATAACCTAAAATTTTAACCCTTTAATATTCACGGAATGAATGCTATGGCATTCATTTTCATTGCGATGCAAAATTACATAAATGATATAACATTCAAATCTATAAGACACGTTGTCATGCATTTTTTGAAATTATTATGCACTTTAATATCATTGCTAATTGAGTCATCGAGTATTTTCATTTTATTTTGTCTTCGAGTATTTAAAAATTTCTTTTAGCTAGCACATTACGTAAATTAAGTAGAATTACAACACACGACGAAAATTACCTGTCCATTTTTGCAGCTCATTAGAATTTGTACTCTCCGCGAACGTGTTAAGTGTCCAACCCGTGACAGTTACGAGGTGACGCGATTTTTTTTTATAATAATAATATGGGCAACGATAGCAGCATGTTCTTCGTGTTTTCACGTAGTTTAAGATGCAGAATGAAAGTTGTACCAATGTTATTAGTTTCGACGGGGATGAAGGTGAAAAATTTTGAATATGTTCTATTATTATATCACAGTGGTCAGTAGTAATTTTTACATTTTCGACTTAAGCTAATTCGGCGAATAAAACTTCGATAAAGTATTTCTTTAGCATTTTTGAAATGTACTGCTAACAATAAATTAACACTAGAACTACCGAAGCGGTCAAAATGACCCATTCGTAATTTTTAATAAAAATTGTGAAAAATATACTCGACTAAATTTTTGCAAAACCGTGGTTTTCTACAAGAGAATGAATAAATATTTATTTACATTACATTACACATTTCTTCAAGAATATATTGTTTTAATGGTAATTATTTACTTTAAATAGCGATTCCTCACCAATTTCGATGACCTTGAAATATGTTGTCAAGGTCGCTGTTATGAAGATTTTTTCTGTGTACATATAACCGCCGCTCGGCCTTAGTTTCCGAGATTTCTCTTCAAAAAGATCGCTGCTACTATAATGAATTCTGTCTATACGTACGTGAATGTGGCAGCGTGTGTGTAAGCGTTGAATCGCCGATTATTTATTGGTTCTATAGATACATCGAGGCGGCCGGCAATGGGTGCGTGTAACGGATGTACTTAAAAACTCGATGTGAGTAGCCATAAACAAATTTTACCCAAACCTTACTTAAACCTAATTATTCTACCTAGTAATTAATATAATGGATTAGGTTTAGGTTAGATTCTCTTATACCGGCCACGCATTTATCTTCTATTTCAATTTTCTTTAGTAATATTATCCGACATTAGCTTGACACAGTATACATTATTTGTCGTTGGTCGTTATGATTTTAATACAAGAATACCAGCATTTTTTTATATAATGGCAGACATTTTCCAAATTTCTGTAAATAATAACGTCAATAATAATAATATTAATAAAGAATAAAGTTTGTATTTTATCTCCAACTCAACCCGAGGCTAATTCAGACATAAAATTATTTTTGCAAATATCTCGAAAACGAAGGGCGAGCGGCGGTAACATGTATAAAGAAGAAATCTTCATAACAGCGACCTTGACAACATATTTCAAGGTCATCGAAATTGGAGAGGAATCGCTAAAGTAAATAATTAACGTTTTAATTTCTTTGGTATTAATAAATACACCACAATTGTCGGTAGTTCTAGTTACAATACGTAGTATGAAAACTGTAATTGTTTAATTACATTTACAAAAATGAACAAAATCACGTAGCGTGCTATCTTTATTGTCGCGGAATGTAGGTAAGAAACAATCAACGCGTTGAATTGAAGGCGAATTTAGACGTTTCATTTTGGAGGATCATTGATGATTCATCCACAGTGAAAGGTGTAAATACTATTTCGTCTTGCATTTCCTCTATGACGAACAATAAAAATAAACAGTAAGCGAAGTAGAATCTCTACTTTTGATAAAACAAACGGGCGATTCATCCACAGGGAAAAGATAGTGACAAATATAAATGTGTCCGATGACAAGTGAATATGTCTTTTGGTTCATTATTGAGAGATAACTGTCGATCGACAGAGGCTCCCCAAGCATCCCACCAGAAAGGTGTAATTCTTTTTCGTTGAACAGATGGGTAAATACTGCAACTATCATCCTTCATCTTCACCGAGGATGATTCATCTGCAATGATCGTCCAAAGTGAAGCGGTGTAAATTCAACTTAACTATTTACGATCATGACAGTCCTCTGTTTCGATGGACGAATAAAAACACCACAAGAATTGTTGTATGCAACGCGTATTTTAGTGGAAAATATGTAGAAATTCTAACAATATTGAAAAAGTTGTTCCTTAATACCGTGAAGTGAGAAAAGCCCCCTAAAACTGGTCCAATTTTCAAACGGCCATAACTCCTACAATAGTAAAGCTATCTTATTGAAATTTAGTAAGGAAGCAGAGCTCATAGGTACCTACAAAAAAGTATTAGACAACTTTTCTGTAGAGCATCAAACAAATTTATTAAAAATGAAAAACTAATTTTTGAGAAAAATCGCAGGGAGTACCAGGGTGCCTAAACTTTTCGGCGAAAATAAAATTTCAAATCGTTCTGGAAAAATTATTTTCGGTTGAGGGGGTCAATTACAATCATTTTTGGTCATTAGACATACCCTCGAAATTCTACCCACTTTCGAGAACAAAATTCGAGAAGGTGTGAAATTTTTCGACAAAATTAAAAAATTTCAAATTATTCTGGAAAAATTATTTTCGGTTGCAGGGGTCAATTACAACAATTTTTGGTGAATATATCTGCCTCCGAAATACTACCCATTTTCTAGAAAAAAATTCAGTATGGGCGGAACGTTAAATGTTAATAACTTTTTAACGAAGCCTCCATCAACAAATTAGTATTCTTGATTTTCGTCTTATTTTGGCCTCTAGAATCACCCATTAAAATTTTTCCCAGGGGTGGCCGAACTCCCTGTAGATTAATAATATTTGTATATTACTTTCAACAATAAGTCTATAGGAACAAGAAGCATCTCTTATTTAGTTATTGTTAAGAGTTCGACGTGTGCAGTTCGCAAAATATTATTCATAGAGAAACTGAATCTGTATAAAAATGGAGACCAGAAGTTCCGATGAACTATATTTGTTGAGACATGACGAAAGTAAAATTATTGGAACAAAGCTTCCTAGTAATAGACAAGTATTGTGTGTGTTATTTTACAACGCACAGAAAATAAAATTGGATCTCAAAACAAGTGCCGCGATCGTGATAAAAGCACAAAAACTATTAGCATTGCATGAAACTTGGCGTACAAGAAGAACAGAAACAACTGTGTACTTGAATGATGGTTTCTGGGATCTCCTCTTCTACTAACCCAACGATCAAGCGTCTTTTATTAATTTTCGTGAAAAAAGGAAAAGAACCTTTTCCTAGCTCGATGCAAAAAAATGCAATTTTTTGACACACGATCGTATGTGTCTCCTTGTCCTTTCAATTGAAAATAATCGTATGGCAAAACGTAGCACACCTACATTCGGTTTTAGTTTCCATACATAAGGAACGAATTATGACCCACTCCCTAT